GAACATGAAGTTGCATGAAAGGATTATGATATAGTTTAATATTCATGGAAAGGAAAGAGAAGTAAATGATTAAAGAAATTATACAAATCCTCTACTTCGGACTATGGGATAATAACAATATAATATTTGGATAGACGTATCCCCTATTACATTTGTCAATTTAATTTTGTCAATTCTTATAAAAATGCAAGCTTTTTAATGATACTGTAATCATATTGTGATTACCGTGAGTAGAGTTAACAACACAAAATATTTTCTGTGTGTGTATTCAAAATATGTTTATTCTAAATTAAAAAAAAGACTATAGTAATTACAACTATTAACATTTCCAAAAATGATTGGAATCGCCGTTCAGCAATGAATATATAAAATAATATTTCATTTCTTACCAAATACCTTTATTGTGTGTGGTCAACACATAAAGAAAAAAAAATTGCAATTTGCTGTGTTTATCCTGCAAGAGTCTACAAACTGGTACTGAGTTCGTACATTGATAATGTGTGTTTTTTTCAGTTGTACGAATAAGCAACCCGACTGGGCGAGTCCATTTAAGCATCCCTCATTGAAGTTTTCATTGAAGACGTCCATTTTGTTATCATGTGAGCTTTGATTGGCTAAAGGCAGGCGGTGTACAGATAGAACTGTTCAAATCTTGTTAATTGTATATATTGCCGTCCAGGAACGGCGATAATCATGCAGTTGTTGGGTTTTTTTTCTTCAAAATTTCAAATCTGTGCATAATATATGTCCGTTTCATATTTATTAATATAATACCATGTCCGGTTGTCGTCCAGTATAAATTACGTTGATTGTTTTGAGCACGAATGTCAGACGGCCACCGTTTGTTGTTTGGCAAATGCACAGGCGCTAGTCACATAATCAAATATTTTACATAACCGGTCTATATATGTATAAAAAAATATAAGGCCCCCAACGGAACAAAAACATCATGTGGATCAAACAAGAACACTGCTGCAAGAAGCGACCAGATCACGGTTTTCTCTTTGTGGTCGCCATTTGAAAGCATCAATCCAAGTGCTAACACTTTTTATTTCATTAAAATCCCTCAAATAGCAAAGAAATTCGAAAAAGTTTCGCAAAATGCCATTATTTTCAATTCATGTCGTTTTCAACGTCCATGCCATTCATGTATACAAACACAATTTCTGGTCGATTGTTACGAAATAAACAAAAAACGGATAGAATTTCCACGTACGTGCCATTAACAAACTCTTTTCCTATCGATCTGCGGAGTCTTAAACTGATCAAAAGCCCTCTACATACGTAATTCTTTAAAAAAAAATATACAAGGACCTCGCTTGTGACAGTATTTTATCGCCATGTATAGCGCATGTATATACTGTTCCGCTCTGAATATTATTCCCTGCGGTCTTTTGAGGCATGGAGGAGCACGTGACCTGTTTTCGATACATGGAGGAGCATGTGATCTGTAAACCGTATATGATTGGTTAATTGACCTTTTCGAAAACCCAGCTAAATACCGTTTGCCGGTACGTTACGGATTTACCTGTAGGGAATTAGTCCGAATCATACCTAATTGACAGCAAAAAACTATTACGTGATACTTCTAATTTTCTATAATTATTTTACCGTTTAAGGTGGAAAAACTTGAATGATGTGTTTGAAAATTATCAAAATTTCTTTAATAAATAGAGACATTTTCTGCGTAAACTTGTAAACTTGTGTGTTTACTTTATTTATTTTTTGCTCGGAATTATTCATAAATTATTCATAAAATGGTAGGCATATTTAATCATTGTCTTAAAAAGAAATAATCGTTTTATGTTCGACCTTCTCCGGTCTTCAACGGTCACCAGTTTCTTCTATATTGATCGATTATTGTCAACTATATTCTTGATACAAACGTTTATTTATCCCCTCCCCCCAAATAATGTTGAAAATAGTTAAATGAAATATCTTTATATCATTAAAATGTTCACCGCAGGAAACCATTTTACTTGTACAAGGATTGGATTGGTTAAGATAATAATCGGAATACTATTGACCAATCATATAAAACCATTTCTTTGCTTCATTCACCTGTCACTTCAAAATCAAAATGGCGCACTTTACTTGACCTCCGCTTCTAAAACCAATATTTTTAAAAGATTTACGTACATAGAGGGATCTAGTTCAATTTAGACTTCGCAGATCGATAGAAAAAGAGTTTGTTTATGAAATTTATGAGGAAATTATAGACGTTTTCTGTTTATTTCGTAGGAATCGACCAGAAATCGTGTTTGTATACATGAATAATTTGGACGTCGAAAACGACATGGATTGAAAATAGTGGCATTTTGTGAAACTTTTACTCATTTCTTTGCTATTTGAAGAATTTTAATGAATTAAAAAGCGTTAACGCGTGGATTAATCCTTTCGAATGTCGACCAGAAAGAGATAACCGTGATCTGGTCGTTTCTTGCAGCAGTGGTCTTGTTTGTTCAGTATGATGTTTTTGTTCTGTTGGAGACCTTATATCTTATCATAGTATATAGCCCATATAAAACTTTCAAAAGTTTGTTTGTTTCAAGCACCTGTGGACAAATGTTTAATCTATGCATAGCAAGATCATTCGGTAACCGTTAATTACTTGTTTGTTACTCGTCCGTCGTTGTTTGGTGGCCATTTGATTCGGAAACGGACGATTCTAACACGACCCGCATTTTTCCCGAACCAAAGTAAATCAGTCGCGATTTAGCTTAAGGTATGACCCACCTAATGCATTACCTCCACTTTGAAGAGTACTCAAATAGGCTAGAACTACTGTCAACTGCATTGAAACTGAGGGGCGCGGGTTCAAGCCCCAGAAGAAGCAACTTTTTTTTCTTTCTTTTTTTTTCTTTGAACATTATTTGTGTCTCTCAGATCACTCTTGATAAGAAAAAAGTGTTTCATTTTAATTATAAAATTATTATTGGTATTTATTGGCTAAATTGTGCCAAACTTATTATCAAATATGGTACCTGATATTTTAAAAGTCTAATAAAATAAAAACTAGACGGTAAAAGTATTTTATATTTGACAAGTGCATCCAATATACCTTCAAAAAAATTTATGCAAACTTTGAAAACAGCCCCTGATTTGAGTAAATTTTAGGGATATTTTGAATAAGGCCCTCCAAGTAGAAAAATGATCAAACAACTACTTAAAATGGGTGGGGTAGGGTAACATTTATATACATATTTCAAACATTTTGAGTAGAAACAATAATTTTGCTGGGTCAATTGTTAGCTGATTGTTATTATTTGTGTCTTAAATATTTTCTATAGGAAAACATTATTTCATAATGATTATATAATAGAATAATAAGAGTTTCTCGTTTCTGAAAAAGAGCCCTTCTAATAGCCAAGTTTTACTTTAGAAAAATCTCCATAACTCGTAAACCATATGGTAAACTTGGTTTAAATTTTGCATATTTGTGTCTTTTAAGGTATATAACTGACCTATGTTGTCAATTTCATAGTTCCTTATAGTGCCCATTAGGGGGCTCATACCTTAATGTTAGGTATGGCAGCATTTATTTGATGACATCGTGTTAGAATCGAAAAAAAAATATATCCAAATCGGTGATTTTATCGCTTGATAAAATCACAGTTGATTTTATCGCCTGATAAAATCACAGTTTGGGATATATTTTTTCTTAAGTAACAGACGAGTGAGGCGTACCAAATGTGGAACGCTTAGATCTACAAAATAACTAACACACACCTTAGTTTTTCCCTAAAGTGCAAGGAACATGCACTCTATCATAAATATGTGTTCAACTTCAACACATAGAACGCCATCTGGGTCTACACAGAGAAACAAAATTAGTGCACAATTGTGTGATGAACTGAGAAAAAATGGACTGTTTTTCCGTGCAATATCGTGTAGCACTAAACAAAAGATTTAGATTGAACAAGGCAATAATGTTATTTTTGTCCCGTGCCACATGATATTGCCAAGGAAAAAGCAGTCCGATTTATAAAATAAAAATAAATTCAAAATCCAACGCTTTGAAATAAAATGTTATAATTAACAAAACCATGATTTGCGCTTTTCTGACGCCACGTCTTTTTGCGTAACGCGGAAATTCGGCTTCACGCGACAAACACGGAAACGACCGATGGTAATAAACGGCAAAAGCAGAAACAATGTATCTGCACGTTTTTCATACTTTTTTCTAAAAGAGTTCATTTAGAATAAGGGTACTACGTTTGAACAAATCATACTACCTTTTTTTATAAATCATATGATAATACACTTCATTTATTAGCTTTGATATTTAAAAGTTCTTCTCAGAGCATAAAATTATCTTGATTAAATGATCGAAATTAGTAGAGCTATTTTAACCAAGGTTGTTTTCTTTGTATTTTGTTGTGTTGGGCATTATAAAAAATCAATTTATACTACTTTTTAAGTTCATTTTGACACGTTTTCAAGCCTGAACAATGAACAAAGTTTAACCGACCGATATACCCTTTTTCCGGATATAATGATAATAATATATAAATTTTTTTTTTTTTTATTATTATTATTTATTTATTTATTTATTTATTTATTTATTTATTTATTTATTTATTTATTTATTTATTTATTTATTTGAGTATACGTCTGACAACCCACTGATGAACAATTATAAACAAATCCGACTTAATTAATGTCAACAGGCTGGAATTTTGTTCTTTTGGTTTCTACCACCATATTAATAGTACATAAATAATTACATCTATGAAATTACTTAATTTAGGTTGACTTTTACTTGATATATTGGAATAAAGTTAGTCAACGTATACCAGCATTAAATTACTATTAATTTTCTTTACATGCGTAGGTTAGAATATCCGTTCTGTGTATTTTTACTCCTCAACTTAATATTACGTAACCGTATTTTACAATCGGACGGTCCTCGGCTATTAGTCCTTATCCGAAGACTGACGGAAAGGGCCGGAAAGTTGCGATTGTATTACTGCCTAGTGACAAATATACAAAAGAACTATAAATGACAAGAGGGTATTTTACAAGTTTTCGTTTTAAAGACAGTGAAAAAAATGTAAGTTTTTTTCTCTCATAATTACCTATAAATACAATTATTTTACAATGTTTAAAGTTAGAATGCATGTTACATTTTAAAGGTTATAATATTTTCAGATAGATCACAGGAAATTGACATTCTATAAGCAAATAATTAAAAAAAATACGGCAAATATACCCCTCTATACTATAAATAAACACAAGGAATGCAACGCCTTTAACACACTCATACACATTTTATCTAATTACACAAGTGGAAAATCAATTTCAACAAACTAGTTTAGTAATTTCGATACACAATACAAAATTATTCCTTTTACAACCGCTGATATTTTAAATCATAGCATTGTATAATAATGAATTATCGCATGACCGCCACAACTTTCCTTTGAAGATCGGCGTTCTCTAAATTTCGGTATTGGAAAACTTTGGGGGTGCTCTAAATGAGGTATCAGTACGCTTTAGGGTGCTCTAAATGATCGAGGTATCAGTACACTTTCTCGCGCATGCCCAGTTTATTATTTTATTTCAAATCATAAAGTGAGTTTACCCGAAAAAGAGCATAACAAAACATTACACAGTTGACAGAACTCTTTTTTTTTTAAATATTTACATATTGTCTCGATCTTTTTTTTTCAAAACTTGAAAATGCAGTTATTATAAAGATGTTGACTCAAGTGGAAAGTAATTACCATTTTCTGCATCCTGACCTCGAGGACAAACTAGTCTGAAACAATGATCAAACTATTCATTTTTCAGTAAAGCACTACACGTATTCTAACGTAATTATTAATAAATGGAAGAAGTGTTAAGAAAAAAATCACTACATTGTCGTTAGTTTTAAAAAATACGCGTACAAGATATATCTCTAAAATATACACCGGGACTCTTATTGACAATATTTCCTAGATTATATTTTGAAAATGAGCTGGAAAGATGATTAATAATTGGCATTCAGAAAATGCATCAACTTACCTCGTCCAATGGTTAATTCATTCCAGTTCCTTCAACGGCCTCTAATGGGTATATTTCTGCGGGCATTTATTTAAATATTTATATGTTTAAATAAATAAATTTTACGAGAGAGCGTAAATCTCCAAGAAAATAGTCGTGATGGTCATGCGATAAAACAGTTACAGAATAAATACTGGGACTTCACCGGCTGGTATCAGCGCATAGGGCGACAAAAGGGTCAATCATGGAAATTAATCTCGACGTTCCGTCTCAATTAATTTCCTATGATTGACCCTTGTTGTCGCCCCACGCGCTGATACCAGCCGGTAAAGTCCTCGTATATATTCTATAACTATTACTTGGCAATATTTACTCAAATGTCAACAAAATATTTTGTCTGGCACTCCATGCGCTGACGTCACTGACTACACTGATCCGGGCTGAATATAAAATATATATATTTTTCCTAATAATCTATTTTCCATAGCATGAAATTAGTTGAAATGCCATTCTTTATGATTAAATAGCCAAATGAAACCTTATATACAACAGAAATTTACGCACACTATGAAATGTCATGAAAATTTCGTGATGAGAACCCCAAGTTACTTCCCTTTTATGCTAGAGTTACGTTTCCCAAAGGGTTTTTGGGAGTTTAATAAAAAGAACAAAAATATGTGAAACATATGACATCTTAGTTATTTAGAACTTATTTAAAAACTAATGCTATAGAAAATAAATTTTTAGGGGAAAAATAAATAGTTATCTTCAGCCCGTAGCAGTATAGTCAGTGACGTCAGCGCATGGAGTGCCAGACAAAATTATTTGTTGACATTTGAGTAAATATTGCCAATTTATTTTTATTCAATGCTTTGATTTAAAATATCAGCGGTTGTAAAAGGTATTCTTTTGTATTTTTTTATCGAAATTGCTAAACTAGTTTGTTGACATTTATTTTCCACGTGTATAACTGATAAAATGTGTATCGAGTGTTCTAAAGTTGTGTTTATTTATAGTATAGAGGGGTACATTTGCCGTTATTTTTTAATTATTTGCTTATTTTTTTCAATTATTGATAGACTGTCGATCTCCTGTGTATACATGTACACCAGGAAGATCTTTATTAAATGTTTCTGCTAAGGCCTACATATTATTTTACATGCATGTTGTATAAATTTCATATTCTTCTGCGACCTTTTATGTGCCTATATTCAAATCAACTCGTACTCCACACATATGAAAAAGGTGTAGGTCAATGGTTTTTCTGTATTAAAGACCGTGTGTAATATCTCAAGTTTCAAATTTAAATAAAACTATTTTCCAAAGTGTATTCACAATGTATAAAATGTGCTGATTTATTCTGACGTTTGTTTCAATAGTTTAAAATATAATTATGCTATTATTTTTTTAGTCAAGTTGAGCCGCATTGACTTTAAATTTCAAAAGATTAACAGTTAAAATGGGGGATAACGACAAAAGCCTCCCCCGGAAAAAAGCCCCCCGTTTAAAAATGCCACAGTGGACAACCCCCCCCCCCCCATCAAATTTTCCAGAAATCTTCATTCTGTTGTGGCACTGTTCAAATTCAACATTTTCAAAACTCCTGTCTGCTGGCAGGTAGTACATCTTTAATCCTTCCGCCAAGAAATGAGGTCCTAGAGAATAAATGTACACGCAATAACGTTTAAAGTCTCATATAACACACAAAAACTTCACAGAAGCATTAAATGAACTTCAAATATGACCAATCAAACGAGAGATGATTTAAAGTGGGGTACTTCAAAATGTGCAAGAACCATTTGCTTGACTGGCCGGAAAAAACAAGTTACAATATGAAATATAATGTTTATATGGTAATGGTCCATGGAAGAGCATCTTTAACAAAATATTTTTACAGTCAATAAATTTAAATCGGGAGAGAAAAAAAACGGTTCATTTTTTTATTTCTTTTGATTATTATTTTTTGTCGAGGAGTAGCTTTTTTGAAACATACTGACACAAAAAATTAAAAGCTTAACAAGTATGTATATTTTTTAACTTTCAGGTCAGAGTGTTGGCGATGGACTTTGCAGAACATTGCTGTGTTCTTATTGCTTACAGCATTTACTTGCATGTTTATATTGTGGCCAGAAGAATGTATAACTGTCACTCTCAAATCTACATGTCAATGTACAATAGTCATAGCAATTATCATTGGCATTTTTGTGGTCTGTGAAAGGATATCACAGTCAAGGAAACTTTTTACTAATTGTTCTGAAGAACATGGTACTGGACAAGTAAATACAGGAAACAATCGATATGTCCCTGATACTGTATCAAAACGTCATGAAGAAAACGTGGTTCAATCAAGACTTCAACAACAACAACGTACAGAATATAATGAGTTCATGACTAGTCACAGCAATTGCCATGGATCGGGGCATAAAATTTCAACCTCAGGACGAAATCATCGATTACAGAGACCAATGTCACCAATTCGAAGTACTGGCTACAGCACATCAACAATTCAAGAAAATAATGAAACAGGAACCTTAAGGGTGGTACAGAATTCATTTTTTGAACTAAGTAGACGGTTTTTAAATCGATTGCATGATCGGATTAATGTTGCGGACCATACATATACTAGAAGAGACGAATTCTTTACATCTCATGAACCTGATGACAATATTGCCGCAAGAATTCAAAGCATTATCAGGGGAATACAGGCACACATTCCAGGGCCACCTGCAGGACCACCCCAGATCTGCTTAATAATTAAAGTCCCAATATATCAAAAGTTTAATGTGAAGAGATAACTCTTTAAATAAAGATTTGTTGAGGCCCTAACTGGGAGGCCTGTTTTTTCCCCTGTAATAGGTCTGAAAGGGTCGGGGCAGCCACATTATACCTTACATATATTGTATATACAGTTATATCAATCAAATCATATACATGTACATGCAATAATGTAATTGTATCACATTGCATAATAATTAAGAGTTTACATATATTCATGTTATTAATCAGATTAACATTCATATCATTTATTTAATTTATAAGAAGAAAGATAAAAAAAAAATCATTTTAAAAATAATATCACGCATGTGTTGAAATTGTTTTCATTTATATTAGTACTTATATTATCTAATTATGATGGTAGTTACACAAGTTAGAGATTTAAAAATTGGCCATCCATTTTTTTTCATCTTTTGTCCAATTTGTATTAGTATGAATACCCCAAGCCAATTCCTTAACTAAAATATTGGCTGCATCTTATTGTCTTATTATCAAAGTTGACACAAAGAACAATAAACATTAACAACAATAACAACAACAACAACAACAAAAATTAACAGAAAAAAATGTTATACATGTATCATGATTACAACTAGAGATATTAAAAGATTTGCCCTATGTCTGGCTGTCAGTCCGTCCTTAAAAACTGTTTTTTTTAGATCACTTTAAAGAATTTGGAACCTTAAGTTTAAACATTAGTTATACATGTAATATGTCTGACAACCATTTTTAATTTAAATATGACCACTGATGTACAACAAGTTTGCTTCTTTAAATAGAAGCATGCGAGAGCTTATTTTTGCAGCTGTTTAAGAATTGTTGTTAAAATTGTTCAAATGCCAGGAAAGTAAAAACATTTTGATTTGTCGAATTGCATCTGCAAACAGTCAATTCATCGGCTATTTCCGGCAGTCTACGGTTGACATTTTTTCGGATTTATTTTTTTCTACATCACTGGGCAATGATTGTCAGACATAATTATATTCAATCATAATTTTACCGAAATAGGCTATTTATTTTTGATGTTAAAAATATATATTCGTCATACATTATCAAAGATGACACTGTTTTTTGTAAAATCTATTTGGAAGAACTACTTTCAAACTTCGAGATGATTATGAACAAGTTTGCTTTTTTTAAAAGATGCACGCGAGAGGTCTTTTTGTAGCAGTTGAAGATTTGTATAAAAGTTCAGATGGCAGGAAAGTAAGAACTTCTGATTGGTCGAATTGCATCTGCGAACAATAGTAACATATAGGGTTTCCCGTCAGTCTCCGGGTAAACTGAAATTAGGAATAATCGGGGAGGCGTTCCGAAATTAAAGGAGCAGCAAAATTTTGGTACACGTTTAATAGTGCTTGCTGATATTGTTACGAAATTACTCGGTCTGAACACGTTTTTTTTTTGCTGAAAATGTCTATCATTTAGCACTCTATGCTTGTATAATAAATTAGGAGTCCAAGTGAAAGCATGGTAATAAAATCATCTGAACTAAAATTATGCATCATAGTTATATTCTAGCAATAGTCTAAAAGCAAATTAAATAGTTAAACTATATGGTTGTAGAAACCGGAAGTACAAAATACCAACCTGTTGATATTTAGTCGGATATTTGTTCAGTGGGCATATTTAAATTAATTTTTTTTTTGTTGATGTCAATTATATGTTTACATTCGTTTTACCATGAAGCTAAATATTGTTTATATATCTGTGGTTTTACATTATCGAAGATTACACTCCCTCTCTCTGAAAGAGGTTATTATAGATAATAAAAAATACACACATTTTGATGTTAGCACGGACATGGATTATGTGCACAATAAGCTCACAATGGTGAACATTTGTGCCAAGTTACATTTAAATCCCCCGATGAATGTAGAAGTTCGGCCCCGAACAAGCATTTTTCAATGACCTCTAAGTGTGACCTTAACCTTTAACTTACATATCTGGTTCATGCACATGACACTGCTTCTCATAGTGGTGAACGTGTTGAACGTTTCTATGAATTTTCATTAGAATGCCACCATGTATGGAGGAGTAATACTCTGGACAAAATCTTTGTATTTTATCATCTTTCTTAATGTTGCATATATCAACACATGTTTCACACAAGTAGTTATGATATCAACCATTTGTGTTTCAATCCCTTAATAAATGATGACTAAAAGGTCAAAATGCACATTTTCATATTTTATCGGAACTTTGACCCCTATGTGTGACCTTGACCGCATGGACCTAAATTTTATACGCGACACTCCGCCTAACAATGTAGAACATTTGTACCAAGTTATGTTAAAATCCCTCTATGCATGTAGAAGTTTTGCTTCGGACAAGCGTTTTTCAGGTCAGGGTATCGTATTGTAACATGGCCAGCGATTGGCTGAAAAAAAGTGCAGGGAAAACCGTATGAATCACTTTATACATGAGGTGATTGGATGAGAATGAGGTATTTTTAAGTGTAAAAACTAAATTAAAAAGTAACACTATACTGTTTTCTGAAGAAAATGAAATATTTCATGAGTCTCTATGATAATTTTGACTTGGATATTTGCATTTATTAAAAGTGTATGTCAGTCCTGTGATCAGCAGAAAATTTCACTGAAATGGGGGGTAATCCTCTTTGAAGTCATTTTGCAAAAAATTTGGTTGGCTACCACTATATAACAGGACAATTTTTATGTGTCTAGCATTTCATTCTGCTAGAAAAATCACCTCTTTAGCATGAAAACTCAATTTTAAGGTAAGATTAGGGACCATTTCTTATAATGTAAGTCTATGGAAATATCAATGTGAGTGTCTGACCTAAAGAGAGGGTCATTTGAACTGTCATAATTCTTTGTAGTACTTTGTCTTCATTGATTACACCATGAAAAGCTGATATTTTGGAAGAATGGATGTATACAGCCTTTCAAGGTATGAAATTTCATTATTTCAATGCAACTGTTGGTGTTTACAGCAAATAATGTGTCAAGGGGGTCAATCTACAAGCATTGTATACATATGAACAAGTGTATTAGTGTTACTTATCAGTTAATAATGGTTTATATTTTCTTTAAACAGTGAATTTGAGTGAAAATCAATTGGTGATATGTTGATGATGAATAATATAGACCTTGGTCATTAAAAATATGTTTTCAGATTTCAAAGAAATGCTGTACATTGGCTATACACATGCAAGGTTTGAAGACTTCATTTATAACTTGACAGGACCTGATGTAAGCACATTGGCCACTTTTGATGGGTGTTGCAGGTATATCACTACAAATGCATATTGTCGGGTTCAAAACTAATATATTTATACTTAAAATAGTCTAGGGTGCTGTTTCGGTTATGTTTTCGACTTTGTTTAGGCGCGGAAAGTTCTTCGCTCGGCACTAATTTTTTTCCATTTTGCTGATATATTTACATAGAATGTCACAAATAAATTGCTTCTATGTCTGTTTCCCATATAAGAATGTTATGTGTTTCATTTACAGGCATAGATAGCATAAAAGCTTCAAATAAATAGCATTTTAAGGCTTCTGTCTTAACATTGACTTGGTTTCAGGGCATGAATATCAACACATACTTAGAAATTGAAATGCATTGAAAAATGTAGCATAATTCAGTTAGGTTGCCTCTGAATAGCCTCTTATTATATGGTTTAGATGCAAAATAGTGTTAAGAATTTATTGTTTTCTATTTTGTAATACATATTTACACATTCACAATGTATAATGCCATACATTTTAGACTTTATGTCTGTTTAAGGCATATTTGAATGAGCATCATAATGGCCAATGGTAGAATTATTTTGTGGAAAAAGTTTTATTGATAAGTTAAAGTTGATCTACTTTTTCACAATTATATTAGGCACAATTATAACACTGCTTTAGTGTCTCTGATGTGTCTATAAACAGAAAAAGCACTTATTCAGGTAGATAAATGTACACAAAGGGGGTTATTATGTACATATTCAGTGAATTACCTCCCTTTATTTATTTAGAAATTTAAATAAGTGCATAAATTAGAGTTTCTGGCTACCTAAATTGAAGAAAATACACAAATACTTTCCATTCCAAGTACATTATGGCCTGAAGAGGTGATTTACATGGTAAAACACATGAAAGAAGGTTTCAATTGTCAAATTTGGCTCAAAATGAATGCAAAAATGGTCAAAAAATGGGTGCAGAAGTCAAATTTTAGGCTATTACTGTGCTGTTAAGTCAAGAGGAACTTGGTTTTTCCATGTATTGCATTTTTTTATATCCATGAAAGAGAGTTACAAATATATATAAATGAATTTTGGCATTTTATTGACATTTAGGCTTGTATTTAAGACTATATTAGCAAATATTTTGAGTAGAAAAGTATAGCAGGGGCAGTTTTAAGATACCTAGTTACATCCAAAATGTTGCTATGTGTGTACAAATAATGTGTAATCCATAATCAGGTCACTATACAGTAGTTATTAAGTATGTTTGCTAAGCTAAATCTTCATTCAGGAAGTCTGTTGGTAATAAAATGTTGAAATTTGGGTGAAAAATCACTTATTTTGTTATGGGTGGGGTGATAAAATTGCTCCCTGCTACATCCTTTTGCTACAAAATTAGTACTTTGAAGTACTTCTGTAATGAGAACAGTGTAGCTTTGCTATCTGAGTGATTTTATAGAAGTTGTTACAAAATTGGCTTCAGAATATTGAATTATGTATGAAAATCACATGCTAACATTCATTTTCAGAATATCCGGAATGCGGCACAATGGCGCTTGTTAGAAAAATGGGATATTCAAAGTTTGAAATGACTTAAGAGTGATGAAAATGTATCCATATAATTGGTAATTGTATTTGCAACTTCATTTATTATTAGATATTAGAATATTAAACATATAATATTCCCTTTAGGTCAGGGTATCGTATTGTAACATGGCCAGCGATTGGCTGAAAAAAGTGCAGGGAAAACCGTATGAATCACTTTATACATGAGGTGATTGGATGAGAATGAGGTATTTTTAAGTGTAAAAACTAAATTAAAAAGTAACACTATACTGTTTTCTGAAGAAAATGAAATATTTCATGAGTCTCTATGATAATTTTGACTTGGATATTTGCATATATTAAAAGTGTATGTCAGTCCTGTGATCAGCAGAAAATTTCAATGAAATGGGGGGTAATCCTCTTTGAAGTCATTTTGCAAAAAATTTGGTTGGCTACCACTATATAACAGGACAATTTTTATGTGTCTGGCATTTCATTCTGCTAGAAAAATCACCTCTTTAGCATGAAAACTCAATT